TGCTTGGCTGCCCCTCGCAGCTGCCCATTGACTGCTGCTGCCTCTGCCACCTGATCACCTCCTCCAGCACCACTCGCGGGGGCTCACATCCAGCTCACACTGCCACCTTGTCCCCTGCCCGAAGAGAGCCCCCAAGTGGCACTGGAGGAGGTGATCGTGTGGCAGCAGCAGTCAGTGGGCAGTCACGAGGGGTGGCCAAGCACAGCTGCTGTTTCTCCTCTGCCTCCAGCAAGTGTCAAAATTGAGGGTTGTCTTATACATTGGGGGTCTTATACATGGAAAAATATGGTACTAGGTATAGAAAAATAAATAAAACTAGTTTACGTATTCTGTGTTAAATAAACATTTACATGTATGAACAATTACATTCTCATCATTGGAATGATGTAGAATAGTCACATGATCTAATCTTAGATTTCAGATAGTATAAAATTATTGTATGTTTATAACATTTTATAACATGTTTATAACATTATTATGGGAATTGAATGAAGAACAAGACTTGTCGTAAGTACAAGACAGACCAACAACCACAACATTGAATGGGAGATTCCAGAACCCCTGTCTGAACTCACTTCTTCAGGAAGGACTGGAGCCACTATAAAAAACAGTGCTTCAAAGTTCTGTTCCAGACAAGAAGGATGTTAAGGCAAGTGGTATCTGAAGTGGCTGAGAACCCAGCAAAACTATCAAACTCCTTTGTCTGCCTTGCTTTGTAGATTATCCACCGACAAAGCAGCTTCTCTCCCATAACAAGAACCCAGTTAAAAATGGATCAATATAATCAGTCTTATTAAAGCTGATGGACTAGTAGTCTTTCTACCCATTAGACTGCATATTAGGGGCCTCTCAAAAACACTGCCAGTCTCATAGCAACCTGCAGTTCCTCTGAAGCTATCTATGCCCCCTTCCATCAGCTTCCTTCATCTTCACAGCAACATTGTGGCTTAGAGGGAGATGCTAAATGGAACTAATTAAAAACTCCTTTTTAGCAACAGTTCCCAGAATTCAGGCTGGCGAAATTCCTAGAAAATTCTGAAACTTGTAATCAAAAAGATATGAAAGTCCCATGCTTGGCATTAGCCATTATATTAACCCACTAGGTCTCCAAACCTTTACCTCTATATGCTGGTTTATAAACTGCTAAGAGAAGTTTTAGATCAGTGGACTTCATGAGTCATTATCATGAAAAACAAGTTCCATGTGTATATAAATGCAATTATCAGTCAGTTCTCAGACATCATCTTCATAAAGTAAATGTTTGCTACCCATTCCCCCTTTTTACCAAGAAGCTTAATTTGGAATGGCTTTGCTTTATATAACCTTGCTTAAACTATCATTTGTGTTCCTGTTGTTGCCAAATTTCTTGGCAAAACATTTTGATATTAAAAGCTTGTTCTTGTATGACATAATAGCTGGATATCAGAACCCAAATCTAATCCCTGGAGCAGGAATAGAACTAGATTAAATTTTGTCTGAATCTTAATTAATAATGTGATTTACATGAAAGCTAAAAGCTAACATATGATGGAGAGGATACCTGTTTTATTCTTTTTCAGCAAAAACAATAAGGAGTCTTATAGAATCTTGAAGATCAATTTTTAAAAAAATTTCATTTTAGGAAAAGCTTTTGCAAACGGTTGCACTTTTCTTCAAATATAGTTAAAGTAGTCATTGTGTTTCTGAAAAATTATGACTGGAGGTCATTTTAATTATTTGGATATTCCTCACTTATGCTGTGTGGCAAGTGTAAAACTTTTTACATTGAAAGCTATTTACATGCAGCATAGATATTTGTTTAGGGGGAACATTTTTTGAAATATGATGACCCCCTCTTCCTCACATTCCAAACTGATAAGTAGTAAGAAGCCAGTACTATTTTTTCCTGAGATTCTAGATCACTCTCAACTAAGTAGAGTGAACAGATGAATTGTGGGAGACTGCTTAAAGCAACTGTGTTATATTTGTGTTGTACTCTTTGAACAAAATATAGTACAAAATGCTCTGTTCTGTTTGTGTTCAAAAGAGCCTAAGGTAGTTTAGAGAAGCATTGACCAGGAACAGCCTAGGAAGTGATGAAAAAAAGAGAATGATTGAGCAGTACTGTCTGAGACTACCATCAGTGTAATCCAGGAGATCTCTGTTTTGTTTTGCAGCCATGCGTTAAAAGCTAATATCTTTTTTACAAAAAAATTAAATAATACTTCTATTTGTTCAAGCTCCTTGACAATCTAATGTGAAATAAAGCCATGCTGCTGTTCCTCTCCAATCCTTTCTGTTTTCTAGGGTGATACCTGCACTGGGGGTGGGGTGGGGAATAACTGTGTCAAAGTGGGATAGGAGAGCAAACACCCCTGTTCAAAGCCCTGCATGGGAGGTGTTAACTTTCAGCACAATGAGTTGTATTGGAGACAAACAGCTTGGTCTGTGTGTGTTACTTAAATTTGCCTAGAAGTACGCATGTTCCCTTGTATTGAGTGAGTCTTCTCTCCCATGTACGTTTTGGTAAATTTGTGTTCAATCTGAATTATAATTTTGGTGGCCTGGTTTAGTAATAGTGCTAGGAAAAGTAATTATATATTTTCTTGACAATTAAAAATTTGATACATTGCATAAAGATTGACTACTCTGTTGGCTAAAAGTAAAATTGTTGTATATAGACTTTAAAAAGGGAGATGTCTGTGAATCAATAAGAAAACTTCTGGGATGATTCTGATTATAATCAAATAATTTTTAAATAGTGTGAATATACTACAATGTGTGTTACAGTAAAAAAGCTAAAGAGCATTATTTTCGAAAGCAGTATTTTCATGTACTGTTAGCATTGAAGTACAAATTTCCTTAAGATTTATAGAAGTCATGTCTTGGAGCAAATGAAATTATGTATGATAACTACCACAGCCAAAAGCGCTGGGTAAGGAGCAGCATAATAGACATAATGTTGTCTCTGTTATTAGCATTACAGTGGTGTGCCACTTCAAGATTACCCTGGTACACGACGAATTCGCTTGACGATGAGGTTTTTGCAATCACTATTGCGATCACAAAACAGTGTTTCAATGGGGAAAATCCGCTTCACGATGATCGGTTCAGGAACCGATTTTTCGCTTAACGACGATTTTTCACTTAACGACAATCAAAAATAGCTGATCGTTGGGTTTTAAAAATGGCCACCCACTGTTTTCTGGACGTATTTCCGGAAGACAGTGATCGAAAATGGCTTCCCCTATGGACGATCTTTGCTTTACGATGAGGTATTTCACCCATTGGAACGCATTGAATCGGTTTTCAATGCATTTCAATGGTTTTTTTTCTTTCACTTGACGACGATATTGCTTAACAGCGATATTAACGGAACGGATTAACATCGTCAAGCGGGGCACCACTGTATTTCTTGTGTCTCTTGTAAATGTGTTATTTTTAACATGTAACAGAACTGATTCCCAGATTATGTGATTCTGTATAATGTGATAAATAGCTGACTGTGTGTTAGCATCAGAAAGGTTGTAAGACTAAGCTAGAATACATAGTGGGTTGTACCTTATTTTTAAAAAAAGTTATCATAGCTTCTTCCCTTGTATTAATGAGGGCTTGTTATTAGGGTGTGCGTAGGTAAAATAAAAAGTTCAGTAGTTGCTATTGGGTACTAAATTGCAGTTAATGAAAGAAGTATTTGTAAAGTGTTTGCTTGCTTTGGTGCCTATAAATATGTTTTCACTTTTCTGTTGTACTATAGCTCCCCACAATTAAAATCAGAAATTAGAAATCTTTAAAATTAATTTATGCCAAAGCATTTGAGGTGAGGTGAAGCAGAAAAGAAACATGATTATGTCACACTGTGGAAGAGATTTATTTCAAGAATATGCCATTTTGCAAGGCTTTATTGAGGAGTATTCATTTATTTATTATTTATTTAAAATATTTATAGACCATTTTATATCAGGTATGAAATGATTTTAAAACATATGATTTTTAAAAACAGTTTAAAATCAGTTTAAAACACAAAATTGAAGCCATTAAAACCATTTGCATCAAAACCTGCACAGACCGGGATCCTCTATCCCCAAAGACTCAAGTATATTTTGACTTGGTGCTGGAATTATGCCCATGTTGGCACCAATCAAGTCTCCAAGGAGAGAACATTCAACAGTTGGAATGGATGAAAACAGGAAGAAAATAGTAGCATACTGAGAGATATTTAAAGACACTTTTTTTTCATTTTGTTTATTTATAGTGTGTAGCTATTAAATAGTTAAAACAGAAAGCTGACAGGTTTATGGTTTATTCTGATGCTGCTTACCTTGGCATATATTGGGGGATTTGAGTCATTGTAAATAAAGGTTGTGGAAATATATTATTTCCTCCTCCTGCTATTTGATCAGAGTTGGCCATGCTCATAGTGCCAGTGTCTGCTTGCTACAAAACGTACATGCAGACGGCAACTCCAAGTGTTATGCCTAGCTGAAGATGGAGAATGAGCCTTCATGCCCTAGTGAGCAGCTTTGTATGCTTATATGTAAACTACCGGGACTGTTCCGAGCTTATGAACATGGACGTATCAAGACTTTCAGTCACATATAAGGGATGTAACACTTCACATATAAGGGATGTAACACTTTGTGAAGGTAGACCAAGACTTCAGTGTATCAAAACACCTGAATGTACAAAACATCCTAAACTGGAACTATGGTTCAGAGGCTTTTGTCAGCACTACTGTAGGTGTCTGAGTGGAGCAGATCACCTAAATAAGTATTACAGTTGCTAAAGAAATAGCACTTGTAGATATTTTGCCTTAGATGTTGAAGTGAAGCATGAACATGAAGAAATGAATAGGTTAGGCTGAAATGTATGCACCAATGTAAAAAGTGCAAAATTACCTTTGAACAAGCTATAGCAGATTTCATGCACTTGTGGAGCTGAGTAGGGAGCATACAGATGCCAATAATGTTTAGCTTATTCTGCCTGTTGAAATTACTTTTTTGTGTTTAATTCTCTTCCAGGGTTTTCATGGCCCTTATCCCTTTGGACAGTCTTAAAAACAAAAAACGGGTATCGTCGAGAAGAAATTTGCAAAGAACGGACTTGAGAGGGAAGGGGAGTTCTTGTGGCTTATAGAAGATACAGCATGAACCCCCTTCTTGGTCTCCATATCCTGGGATAAGAAGAAAACAATAACTTAAGACTAGCTGTTTCCAGAAAAAAAAAACTAAAAAACTAAAAGTATGCATGTGTGAATGCTGAATTTCAAGAGTGCTGTTCAGTGCTATGAGAGAGAAAAATACACCAATGTTTTTGTTTAGAAGTCATTGTCACAGTTAATTAGGTAGCTGAAAAGAAATTTTAAGAAAAAAATTAAAATGAAAAAGCCATCTCTTTTTAAAAAGAAAAAATTATTTTGCCTACAGAGTGGTTGTAGTCTGAGCAAATGTTTTTTTTTTTTTGGTTTTGTTTTTTTGTTTCTTGTTCACTTTTCAAAAAGGGACAGCGTGCATTTTTACAGAGATATGCTTGCTATGAAATGGAAGCTTGCTTGGCATTTCTTGATTAGTGCAGTCGCTGCTTCTATGTCTGGTAGTATTAATTTCTAGCAGGATCAATATCGAGACCCATAAATGTTAGTTTTTTTAAAAAAAATCTGCTGTTGGCTTCATTCTTCACGGCATGAAATGCATTTGTCATGTGCTAGTTGTCTTATCGCTGATAAAGTTACTTAGACTCAGTTTTACCATTCATGAATGAGGTAAGTTGATGCAGAGAGCGGGAGGACTGAAATGATGGAGGCTCCCCATGTGCTATGAATGTGCACATGCTCTGTTAGATTTCCAGTTTTCTCTGGGTGGTTTAGCATAGCCTCGTGTTCATTAATGTACAGTAACGGTCTTTGAGACAGTTATGCATGTATATGTCAGTTTTGTGCCAAGAAGAAAATTTTATTTTTAGAATTGTAGAGTGCTGATGATTAAACGTCATGTCACTTCTATGTAAATTTAACATTTTCATTTTTATGTTAGGGTTACCAGTTTATCAGGGATAAAGAAACTAAATTGCTTTGCATATATGAGAGAAAGAATGGTCACCTGCCACTCACAATAATTTCTTCTTTATCAGCTCTTTTTGTTTTTGTAATATTGATTTTCTTGCCTGGGCTCTTCGTGTGTTTGTATGTGTGTCTCAAAGGTAAAGCTGTTTTAGGGTCTAGCTATGTGGAGCCCATGAAGAATGATAGCCATATTTAACTGAGGCCAAGCAGTCCAATTTTATTGGAAAAAGTAGCAGAGCCTGGTCTCTTGAAATTCCTGGGTTCTGCATCAGTGTAAGGCTTTGAAAGAAGAGGGGATACAGGAGGGGGGTTCTGTCTAATTCAGAAACTTGAACTAGGCCACAGCAGCCATCTGCCAAAGATAGAACAATATGCAATGCCCCCTTCCTTTTTTCTCACTCAAAAGACCAAACTGCCTACTCTGTTTGTGTGAGAAAGTAATGGATGTGTGAATATGTATTGATGGGAGTAATACAGAATGCTGTAGGGCCCATAGTAACATACTTCAAGGTACCTTGTTTTATTGGTTGATAGAAAGGCCCTGTTTAATATTTGTGTTGATCACAGTGTTCCTCCCCACTATAACATATGGATAGCACCGGTAAAGTCTAAACAGATGTGGCTGGGATCCTCCAGGCTAGCACTTGGGTATTTAGTTTTCTAGGCTCAATTGAGCATCTGATTTTGTGTTTTCGATTTTGGAAAGTATGTATAATTTAATTTTGTGTTGCTAGTCTCCTTTGAACTGCACATCAATATAGTTATAAACTTCAGACATACTACTTTAAGGCACTAATCCTGAAGGAATAATTCATGATTTTGTAAGAATTAGGAAGCACCTTCCTTTGCTTTTTGAGCTTTTTTCCAGCTTGGCTTTGGGAACTTTAATCTTCTTAAGCACTATTCTCCAAATGCAAAAGATGATATAGAACCTGATTATGTGTAGCATTATTCATGATTATTGGTTTTAATTACTTTTAATTTTTCTTCCTGCTCTAGGCAAGCCACATCCTTAGGGGTCAAGTAGAAGGATGGATAAATGTGATTTTCTGTCAGAGAGTGTATATTCTGATAGCAACATTAACAGTTTTAAAGTGGTGACAACTGGCAACTGCCAAACAGAGTCAAAATAGCTTCAGTTTTATATGCAGATCCGTTACTCAGACTTCATCCCTCCAAGCTGCCAGCTCTTGTGGAGTCTGCAAGGAGAGAGCTGTTAACCTACTTCTACCTACCATTCCCTTATAGTACCAAAAGCTAACTTGTAACCCTCCAGTGGCTGTGAGTTTGCAGCTTGACATCAGCCTGAGGCAATGTTGCCAAATGTGAGGGATGATGGAAGTTTCTGTTCCAAACCCTCTGGAGGGCCACATATTTCCCATAAATGTTTCCCATAAGCATGTGGAGGTATGCATTCTTTAGAAGTCACTGTAGATGCTGTCGTCTCCCTTGAGTGCTACTCAACGAAAGAGTCCAAAAGTACAGCCATTGCTCAGGCAGATTGCATTAAACAGTTGTCCTTTTATTGTCATTAGTTCCTGAGGTGTTTCAAAGGACAAACATTGTTTTTTTCTCTTTGGGGATGATCTCTATAAATAATTACATAGGGCTCATACAAGTATGTTGGTATTTTGATAAAAGTAATAATCCTTTCATTGATGAAAATGGAAAAATGTTTATATTGCTCATTGCTCTGCCTCTTGTTTCTTTTTCAAATATTCTTCCTATGATAACAAAATATATTTTATTACTTACTGTACTCGTTAGGACATAGATTTAAATTCATTAATTTTTGAACTATTTCATGATGATTTTTGAGCTACAGAAATGGATGATGACAAAACTATGTTAACTGATTAGGATTATCACTTTCAAATGTGGAAAGGTAAGGACATCTTTGTGACTAGGCACAATGACTTTTTTCAGACACACGTATTACGTATCTTACAACTATCAGGAAAACTGATGGTACTGGATGCCACTCCCACCCCCTTCAAGTGGAGATACTGTGACTTCTACAGTTTGCAGCAGATGGAAACTCAGTAGATGTAGCTTTACAGAGCGTGGATGTGCAATACAGTAATGAGGGATAACTGCACTTGTAAAATTGCTGCATGTCAAAGAATTTTAAAGGTACAAGCCTTTAAGATGGCAATACAAACTGGTGCTTAGGTTTACATCCCTTTTTAAGCTGGCATCACTCAACACCTTTTCCAGTACAGTCATGAAGGGGAAAACTATCCTGTCAAATATGGAATTACATGCATGCTTAGATTGTCACTATTAGGTACATTTGAAGGTTGTGAGTGGCTCTCAGATTCTTGCAATTATAACAAAGCAAACAGTCCATCCATCTTTTAAAATGGTGTATGTGCATCAACTTCTATCTACACAGTTATTAAGAAAATGATATTAATAAAACAATCCTTAACTCCCTTTACCAATGTAATACATCCTGCTTGGTCACGAAAAGATGCTAAATACTGCTTGATCTGTGACCCTCTTCCTGATCTTAGTAGTATAGTAAACTACCTTCACTCTCCCAGACTTAGCCTCATACAGCAAGTGCAGTTGGCTCTGTCTCCTCATATATTTAGTGATTTGTTCTGGAAGAAAATATGATGGATTTCCAGGGGGACAAAGTAACTGTAAATTTAACAAGGGGAAGTTTTAGTTTATCTTTCATAGTGTTTTATTTGCAAAGTTTTTAAAAATGTAAACTTAACCATAGCTCATGTTATTGGAAAATGTGCTGGTACACCTCTGTATTTGATAATATGACTTATAAAAGAGTGTCCACTCTTCCCACTGGAAAACTGAGCTGATTTGAGCCCTCTGGCTGAAAATAAACTCTGTCTCTGTTTGCAGATGGGTATCAAGTATGCACGAGCAGGTAAAGCCTACGCTTTTGTGTTGATTTGGGGCAGGGGAAGGTGAAGAGTGTATCCTGAGGCCTCAAGGATTTGTACTCATCCCTCCCCCAGCTGCAGCTGAACACATTCTAAATTGCTATAGGTACAAATATAGGTCAAGTTTTCTTAGGCTAAGAAATGCACGCTGTCCCATGTCTGGGTTTCCATAGTTTTTTCTCTTGTATGAATGAGTGGTTGATTCTGCAGCCTGTCTTTATTCTCTCTGGGGGGAGTGCATGTGTAGAGCAGGATGGTGTGTTGCTTTATTGAGTCTGGGAAGAATCTGTGATAGCACATTGTGGGGGAAAATAAAGATGCTTTTTCCTTAATGTATAAATGAATATTTGTATGATTAAATTAACACAAAACAATCCTACAGTTGCATTTTTATTGAATGAGCAAAGATTGATTCTGCAATATCATCTCATAGTTTAAGTGTCTTCCATTTCATTCTCTTTCCTTTTGGTTGGGTGCATTGTGCAAACCAGACTTAGTTGAAAATTAATATTTTGTAATTGCTTAGTTTCAATGCTTTCCTGTAACTCTGATTTGACTCCTTCCTCATAAAGTCCTTTTGTTAATGTCAATTAACAAGTAAGATCCAGCAGTCATTTGAATAGCTTTGCAGGAGGTTATTATTATCACTAGCAGTTACTGAAACAGGTCCTAAAAATAGACAGAAGAGAATTAAATTTTCTCGAAGAGCAGCTTTCTGCCACTGTATTTCAGCTAGGCTACTAAGAGATTAAAACTCTCTAAGGGCAGTTTGAGCCTTCCACAGAGAGTGATCTGATTAGCTCAGTGGTTATCTTAATATTCTTCACACTCCCATGTCTGCTTCCAAGACAGTACAGAGTATAGTAGAGTTTACTGTGCAATGACAATGGTATTTCCCACACTTACCTATAAAACCAATGAGACAGGCTAGTGTTGCAGTAAAATCCCCAATATTTTTGGTTTTCTGCCAGGAATGTACAATGTGCATTGAAATTTTTATGTATTGGATGTTTGTGAATGTTTCTCCATTGTGCACAGTTATTGTCTTTTGCAACTCTGTTGGGCTTGAACAACTTCGGCCAATCCTCCAACAAAGGCTCTGTGCAGCAAGGTTTTATTGATTTACATGAACTCAGTATCCTGCACTAGACATGTGCTTGATTTATTTACCACCACCAAGCTGAATAGCAGCAGCAGTAAACAAGAGGACAACTTTATTCATTCAGGTGGATACAGAGCAATGAAACAGAATATGCCCCCCAATGTACTTTCTGTGGTACAGTTATCACTCCTGTTTTGTACTTTCTGCTGCTTACTATAGAACACTACAGGTTCTTCATCCTCATTGCCCCTGTGTCTCCATCTCAGTTACCAAGAGAAGAGAATAGTATCCTTCAAGTCTGTTTATTGATGGTCCAATGACATTGCAAGAGAAAGGGCAGCCCTTTGCTGTTAAGTGAAAGCAATATGTATACAACAAAGACAAGTATTGTGGCACCTTAAAATTAATGAATTTATTTCATTGTGAGCTTTTGTGTAGGGTAAAAAAAAATAGCATGGGAATTATAAAGAGATGTTTGAGAGGGAAACTGTGAAGTAGGTTGTGAGTATAAATTCCTGTTTGCATCTAGAAGCTTAAATAAAGGCCTGGGCTTTTTAACATAATATGTATTCCCTGTTTTCCCAAAAATAGGATCTAGCCTGAAAATAAGCCCTAATATGATTTTTCAGGATGTTCGTAATATAAGCCCTACCCCAAAATTAAGCCCCTCCACCATTGTGCAGCAACCAGAAGAATATGACATTGCTGTATTTGAATAAATATATGTTGTACATGAAAAAAATAAATAAAACCTCCCCTGAAAATAAGCCCTAATGCTTTTTTGGATCAAAATTAATATAAGACCCTGTCTTATTTTTGGGGAAACATGGTGTTGATAAGCTATCTCTACAGTTTTGTTTATAGCCAGACATTTTCTTTTGCAAAACTGTGGATTCAGAATGAGAATTTAAGAAGAAATCAGCTTCTTCCTGAAAATAAAAATATTTGCACTTTACAAACAGCTATCATACCAATCAATAGACAGTTTGTATGAGGTGATCACTGTGTTAGGATGTTTATAGAACCAGCACTTTGAAAGTTCAGCACCTGTGCTGTTACTACTTTGAGAGTTCATTACCTCTGTTTTGTATCCCACTACACTAAGTTCCCATCCCCACGATTATGTTTCCTTTCTATATAAATTTGTGAGATATACAGTGATGCCTCACAAGACGAATTTAATTCGTTCCGCAGTTAATGTCATCTTGCAAAAAATTTGTCTTGCAAAACGCATTTCTCCATAGGAATGCGTTGAAATCTAATTAATGTGTTCCTATGGGCAAAAAAAGTCAGAACAAAGTCAAATTTAGTTTACAAAGGGTTTATTAAGTGCTCTTTAAAACCATACATACAGTATTGTGCAGATGATTTCAAAAATTTCAATCAAAATTTAACTTTTTAAACATCATAGAAAAACATTTAAAAATCAGTAAACATGAGGCAGGAACAAAAAAAAGGGAAACATTCGTCTTGCAAAGCACGGCAACAGGAACATTCGTCTTGCGAGTCATCAACCCCATCACCAAAACCATCTTGTGAGTTTTTTGTCCCGCAAGGCATTCGTCTTGCAAGGCACCACTGTATATACAGTAGTAACTCCATGCAACTCAGAAAGGGAATTGTAATCCAGTAAAGCTCACACCAAAATAAATTGGCCAATTTTAAGGATACCACAATACTTTTGGTTTGGTTTCTCTTGCTGAAACATTAACATGGCTGCCTCTGTGGAAACAATAATATCCAAACCCAAACAATATGTGTTTGCCACCATATGGATGGGCTAAGGAAACCACATGGGTGGGCTAAGGAGACATATACTGTACATATGTATATGTATCTACATATTTTAAAAATCCAGCTGGAAAAACATTTGCCACAGTATATTAATTATACTTTTATGAGTATAAATAAACATGGCATGCATCCTTATAAAAAGCATGCTAAATATTTGTTACACTTTCAGTAGATATTTATGTATTTAAAATATTTTTACCCTGCCTTTCGCTTAAAAAGGACCCAAGGCCGCTTACATCATTGAAAGACAATATTTAAAATTGAAAACTATGAGTATATTACAGTGGTTTACATCATTAAAAGACAATATTTAAAGCTAAGAACAATGAGTATAAAGAGGCAGCTTACATCATAAAAAGACAATATTAAAGCTAAAACAAGTATACAAATATTTAAAAGGAACAAACAAATAACACTGTGAGATGGTAAACACAAGTAGTACTAAAGACCCAGTCAGGGCAGTAAGGCATAACAATCCATCTAAAAATCACACTCTCATGTAGTCCGTCACAGAGGGAAACCTTGCCTGAAGAGAAACGTCTTTGCCTGCTTGCAGAAGGACAGTAAAAATGGGGCCAATCTGGCCTCCTGTGGAAGGAAGTTCCGAAGTCTGGAAGCAGTAATAGAGAAGGCCCTTTCCTTTGTCCCCACCAAACACACCTGTGAGAATGGTGGGGCCAAGAGAAAAGCCTCTCCTGATGATCTTAATAACTGAGCCAGATCATAATACAAGACATGGTCTTTGAGATAGCTTGGACCCAGGCCATTTACGGCTTTATAAGTTAAAATCAGTATGCCCAGAAACTGATTAGCAGCCAGTGTAGCTGCTTTAACGGAGTTTATGTGATCCCTGTAGCCAGCCCCCTTCAGCAATCTAGCTGCTGTATTGTAGACTTGCTGAAGTTTCTTGACATTATCCATCAGCTGAGCCCCACATAGATCATGTTACAGTAATCCAGTTGGGAAGTAACTAAGGTGTGTGTCACAGTGGCCAGATCAGATCTCTCCAGAAATGGATGTAGCTGACATACTAGTTTTAATTGTGCAAATGCACTCCTGGCCTCTGGCCGAAACCTGGGTGTCCAGGCTCAGAGATTAATCCAGGAGCACCCCCAAACTGCACACCTGTGTTTTCAGGGAAAGTGCAACCCCATCCAGTACAGGCTGCATTCCTATTCCTTGGTCTCCCTTTTGACTGACCAGAAGTACCTCTGATAGATATCAACCAGTATTTTTAAAACATTTCCAGCTATGTTCCAACTCACACCATTCTTCTTCCACTAGGTTATTACTACTTCTTAATTTTAAAGGCCTAATCTTTTTAGATTTGCTTTTTCTTGACAGGCTCCATTTGTATTTTCTAATTAAAGCAGAAAGAAGTTATATTTCAAGAAGAAAGTTGGGTTTCTGTATTAGGAATCTTTGACTGGCAATACTACCTTTAATGGTGGATTGTACATTCTTGTACAAAAACCTTTTTATACATTTAAAAAAAATCAAGGAGATAATCATGTGAATTTTTAAAGCAGAAACCATAAGGAATCTTGTGGCATCTTTACATACACACACAGTACATTTTATTTGATATGAGCTTTTATGGACATAGCCTTCTTCAGATGTTTGAAGTACAATATTCAAGCTTCAGGTTTATATGCACATTGAATGTAGTTTTGATGGCTGGACAGAACGAAATGTGATACAGAAAATGGCCATTGTATTATTAATTCTGGTATTAAATTTTCAAAGAGCTAGCATAGCTTGTTGAAAGTTTATGACCAGTGTTATCGTAGAGATCCTCTCATTTGTGAGGTACGTTATGCAAGTCAAAGGTATTAATGCACTTCTTTCAGAAAAATGTTTTAGCTGAAACTAGAATGAACCTGTTTTGTCTCATAATTACGTTGGGAAAAAACATTTATGCTACGTCTGGCATGGTAGTAATATAGAAAAACCTGAATCACAGAACTGATTAATACATATGTAATGAGAGAAAAAGCCCTTGGCTATTCAAGCTAAGAGAGATGCTGTTGAACCTCTTGATGTTTTCTTGTTCAGCTTTTTCAGCTGTTTTCTTTTGCAATTTGTTCTGTAAGAACCATGTTGACAAAGTATCCAAGAAAGTGTTCTAACATTTCCATTCTGTTTCTAATATCGGTTTGGTATCAATCTGTGTATTGCAGAAATGATTTTTCCAACAAGACTATGATACAAAACAGGTCATTTTAGCTAAGACATATAGTCTCTTAAATATGGGTACCTTTGCTTTAATACGTTACAGGGTAATTAACTTGTGTATTTGAGCTTATTGTTGCCAGGATGTTTATATCAGCTATCCCTTTGAAAGTTTATGACCAGTATTAATGGTATGATTGCATATTCTTTATCCCATTTCATTCTGTTCCACCCCATGACCATAACAACTTTGCATATCAACTTATGGCTTGAATATTGTATTCCACACATGTGAGAATATGAGCT